CGCGAGTTTACCGGCCAACTGGTGAAACTTGCTCACGATTGTCCGGGAAAGATAGCTGAGAGGCTCTGCGAAGGCGTTTAGTATCGCGGCCTGATTACGTCAGTCGCGAGAGCAACAGAAGTAATTTCATCAAATCTGCATACCTATTGCAAACGGCTGCGTTTCACACCGTGCATACGCGTGCACACGTATACTTTGTTCGCGGCTGTCGGAGAGATCTGGAAACAGATTTAATTGCATGCTACGTGGAAATTTCTTCGCCACCCGATACATGTCAGATGGTTGCGTGTGAAACGATCGACTGTGCAAATAGTCTTTCGAAATTTTCTGGCTTATGGCGTAGGATAGCATCGATTAGCTCGGTGGATAGATGGAGAAAAATTATTATGAAAACTGTTAACTAAGGTATGTAAAATTGTGGAAAATAGAAACTATTCTTTGAAATGAGATTTACACGTGTATAGGTCATGGACGTTTATGTGTATGGTTATGGTAAAGAGAATGTATGTACATTGATTATGGATGTTTATGCAAATTCGGATTTTTATGAAAAATTTCTAACGAAGTGGAAAAATTGTTTTGGTTTGTCGTATATTACTAATCAAATTACTGTTCATATTGCTACTCTAAACTGTGTTTACTTTGCGTGAGATTATGTACTCATCGCATCTATTTTTCGAAATTCGATATCATTTAATGAGCTCTTAAATAAATGGAAGAAAAATGAGAATATATGCAAATATTATATACTTTACTAGTATACCAAAAATAATTAATTTATTCAATATAATTAATATATTAAAAGTATAAAAATAATTATTCTGTGGATTATAATAATAATTCTAATTCTAAATAATTATAATATTAAATATAAAATGAGAATATATGCAAATATTATACACTCTACTAGTATGCCAAAAATGATTAATTTATTCAATATAATTAATGCGTTAAAAATATAAAAATAATTATTCTGTGGAATATAATTCTAATTCTAATTCTTAACAATTTTAATGTTAAATATAAAATGAGAATATATGCAAATATTATACACTCTATTAGTATACCAAAAATAATTAATTTATTCAATGTAATTATCGTGTTACACGTACAAAAATAATTATTCTATGGAATATAATTCGAATTAAATATAAAATTCTACTATTATTTTCTATTAACAATACTGTTAATTCTGGTATTAAATATTTTAATTTTAAATAATTTTAATAATTATTGATTATTAAAAATTTATGAGAAAGTTGTTAATTCTAATATTAAATATTTTAATTCTAGATAATTTTAATAATTATTAATTATTAGAAATTTTGGACAAAGAATTATTATTTGCAAAAATTTCAAGTTACTTGCCTAAAATTATTTATTATTAACCAATTTTTAATCCTGTAATTATTGGAATACCTAATTAAAAAATTTCTATTTCAGAAATGACTCGAATAACGTGCAAGTGTGTACATAAAACTTTTGAGAAAGTTGCAGTAAAGGGACGATAAATTTGAAAAATTTATATCGGAAAACGCGAATATTAAAAATAAATCGCGTGACTTATTAAGAAACATTATCAGTAATGATTACACAAAAAAAATTTTAATTGAATCAGATACGTGTCAGATACGTAACTGATTTGCATTATGCAACAGCTTCCTCTCACCCACAGGCTGTGAAAAAAAGTATGAAGTTGAACAAATTGGTTAACTATAATTTAATAGATGTTCGTAGCAACGATGTTTATAATCCTTTTGCGAATATTAATTGTACGATAACGAAAATTACGCATGAATATCAGTGATCTGTGCGTGTAATTTTAATTACTTGCTAATTGACGATACGTGCAATAATGTTCATGTGTTACTGAATGCAGAGTGAAGTCATGGTGTTTACTGAAACGAATATTCATTATATTTACTATTTTGATTTATTGTATTATTCCCGATGATTATTTGTAGAAAATAGTGCAAATTTTTGTATGGTGAAACTTATTTTTACATTATTATATAATTAGACAAATTATATAATTATATTATATTATAATTATAATTATAGTATATATAGTAGAATTTTCATAATTTTTAAATATTATTTCGATAAATTTAATTTCATTAAATTCTATATTTACCCATATGCAAATTTTGTAAATAGTAAATATAATTGAAACATATTTATATAAATATATAATTAGTAACGATCGTCCAGTGTAATTATTTAAAAAATTCTGCACTCTTTTAAATTCGTTAAAAATCATTTTTTCTATTAAACCTAATTTACCAATTTCTAAATCGATTATGTAAATCAGTGAATATCGTGTCATCGCGATATTAAATATTCGATTTAATAACAATTTTTAATATTCTATAATTTTTCTAAGTTTAAAAATATTTTTAGTTATATCTATATTTGCAAATATGCAAACTTTCTAAGTTATAAAGATAATTGGAATATATCTACATGAATTTATAATTACTAAAAGCCATAAAATGTGACTATCTAAAAAAATTGTACACTCTTTGAAATAAAATATGAATAAATTAAAATATAATTGATACAGTTAATAGAAATTCGTGTGTTAATGTTCGATGTTAATTATCTCAAAAATTCCATACTCTTTTAAGCCAAATATCAATCATTTCTTTTATTCAATCTTCACACCTAATTTATCAATCTCTAAATCGATTATGCGAGTTAATCGTTTTAAAACAATATTACATATTATATATTATATATATTTAACAACAATCCTAAATTTTCTGTAACCTTTCTAGTTTTCAAATTTTATTCTACCAAATTTTACATTCACGAGTATAAATTTTATAAATTATAAATGCAAGTGAAACATCTTTATATAAATACATTGTTAATATTAATTATACAATGTAAAAATTTTAAAAATTCGATTCTCTTTAAAAACGATTATTTTTTCAGTAAAGCTTTACGATTTACCAATTTTTAAACCTCGATATCTCCATCGAGTGAAAATCTAAAAACGTATAGATACTTTCTCATACTTGAGAGCAATAGGAAAAGGATTTTACGAGGATTTCGTAATACAAAAACGACGACGTAAATCATTTTCCAAGATTGCACATTCCAAGGAAATGTATTGCGAGAGATACGCCGGTCGATATCTCGATTCGCACGTTAATTTCTGGTAGAATGATATTCAAATCATTAAGGGAGTCATTCCTTTCTCGAACGATCTCGACGATTTCTGTGTTGAGATACACTTGTATTTGGAAATCTCACTTGTTCGACTCTCGAGAGTAATTCTCTGTTACTTGCATTGTATTCAACCGATGGAGGTTCTACACGATTGTAGAAATAGGACATTGATCTCGATGATACGTAACAATACAATTTTGATCGGTTACACGCGATTCTCTTTTACAAATGAGTGGTTTGGTATTAGGATCAGAATAGCGAATTGTAATTCCCGCTCAAATATTATGTATATAGATAAAAACATATGCAAGCTAATAAAGCAAATGATAATAACAAATTAAAATAAGAAAATAAACAAATTAATAAATAACAATTATAACTATATTATAAAATTATTACATTATTAAT